GCTCAGTATGGTGATTCAAGCTGCCAACATATTTCATGCATCTGTATCCTTGATGCCAGGCATAGAAAGATGAGTAATGCTTGGTTTCTGCCCACAAGTTTCTCCTAGTCCACTAGGAATGATGAACATTCCTACTTAAATATGAAAGCTTCTCTGCTAGTAGTGCACTCTCTCTGCAAAGTCCTGCAAAAGCTTCACAGAGAGGATGTTATTTGAGCCTGACTTTGTATGATAAAGTAGAACTTTGCCAGACATGGAAGGAAAATAATTCCAGGCAGAGAAGGAATGAGCAAAACACAGAATCTCGAAATACTTGGCATATTGGGGAATGTTCTGTACAGAGATGATAGTTGATGCTGCTGGAAAGGCTCTTTGAGACAAGGCTGTGAAGGGCTGTGAATTCCATGCCAAGGAGTTTTTAAGTCATGTTGTAGAAAATGGGGAGCCATCTGAGGTTTTCAGTCATTACAATAATATCTTTTCTCAGTTTTTGGACACTAATACCAAAAGCATCAGAGGATGAATTTACAGGAGTGGAAGAGCGAGTGTAGCAGCCAGCCAAATATTGATCCCCATATTCTTCACCATCTGTTTCTTGTAATTCTCTAGGAACAGTCTTTAGCTACCAAATCAGCCCATAAAAACAGATGAAAAACTCAGGGCTCTGCAATTAAATGGATAATTGGATTTCTTTCTCTGTTTTCTCAAAAATAGTATGAGTCTCTTTGGAAATAGGGGAATAAATAAGATGATACCTGTTGAATTCAGCAAATATGGAGACCAACTAAGTGGAAATTCTGTGCCAGAAATTGTACAGGATATATATTGACTCATTCATTCAACTAACATTTATTGAGGACCTACTATGTTTTAAATAATCTGCTTGTTCCTAAGGTACAAGGGGGAACCAAGGACACACAGCCTCATGCATCTTGGAGTTTACAGAGTAATAATGGATTCAAATATTAACTAAATCATCCATACCAATAAGTGTATATTTGTAAATTTTTGTAAATGCTATCGAAATTGGGGAATCTAAGAGTTGAAAATAGAGTAAAACTATCCCCATTATTAGATACAAGTCTTCTATCAGGGTGATCTGCAAATATTTTCTCCCAGTCTGTGGCTTTGCTTTTTATTCTTTAACAGTATCTTCCATAGAGCAGAAGTTTTTAATTTTAATGAAGTCCAAGTTACTGATTTTTTTCTTTCATGGATGGTGCTTTTGGTGTTATATCTAAAAACTCATTTCCAAACCCAAGGTTATCAAGATTTTCTCCAATGTTATCTTCTAGGAGTTTTACAGTTTCGGATTTTACAATTAGGTCTGTGATCCATTTTGAGTTAATTTATGTGAAAGGGGCCAGGTTAGTGTCTAGATTTTTTTTTTATTTTTGCATATGGACATCCAGCTTTTCCAGCTCCATAGGTTGAGAAATCCCCAGAGAACTTTACAGTCTAGTTAAGGGAATAGGGTTCATATACAAATGATGGGCTGAAATGCCATAACTAAAAAATTTGTCCTGAAGGACGTATAGAATTATGCTGAGAAGTTTTAAGAGGTGACATTTGAGGTGAGCTGTGAACATAAAGTTTCATCATACAGCTGAAGAGGAAATAATATAAACAAAGGGTAAATCTTACTGACTGCAATGTTGAGAAGAATGTAGAAAGCAAAGGTGGCAGCAGGGAACCTTCCTGGGTGGGAGGAGATAGTGATAGTGGGATGCAGTATGGCAGAGGTGATGATGGTAGGATATTGTTGGTCCTAGATGGACTTTGACATTAAGCTGATGGAATTTGTATGTAGATTGCATGAAAGATATGAGAGAAAGAGAAGAGCTAAGGATCTCTAAGCTTTTTAACATAAACAATCAGGAGAGTGGAGTCGCCATTTACTGAGATAAGAATTATGGGACAGGAGCAGGTTTGGGGCTGCATATTCAGGAGGGGTTGGGATGTGTTAAGTCTGCCTGTTAGACTTCTGAGTGAAGTGTTGAGTAAGCAGTTGGATGCTTAAGTCTGGAGATCAGCAGAGTTGTCAATGCGTAAGTGGTATTTAAAGCTCTGAAATCAGGAAGTGAGTAGATACAGAAGAAAATAACCACAAGGATTGAAGCTCCAGAGATCCCAAACGTGACAGTTAGAAAGATGAGGAGGAACCAGAAAAAGATACTCAGGTGGAGATGCCAGTGAGGCAAGGAAGAGAATCAAGAGAAGTGTACAGGACACTAAAACAAGTATATTTAAGAAGGAGTTTGTTGATGCTGCCAGTACGTTAAGTAAAATGCGGACTTAGACTTGACCATTGGATTTAGCAGTGTAAGGCCATTAATGTTCTTAACAAGAGCTATTTCCATGGAGTAAGAAATGGCAGCCTGACTGAAATGGGTTTTCTTAAAGGATGGAAAGAAATTAAGTAGAGATAATTCTTTTGAGGATTTTTCTTGCTATAAAGCAAGGAAATAAAAGAGTAGGTGAAAGAAATTGGAACTCAAGAAAGGGTGTTGTGTTTGTTTCTTTTCAGACAAGTACTATAATACCTGAGAGGGAAAAATGAGTGATGTTGGGAATGAGAGAGGAATCAGTGGAAGTGGTGTCCTTGAATAAATGAGAGAAGACAGAATCCAGTGAACCAAAAGAGGGGCTGGCCAAAGATAGAGGTGGGGACAGTTTATCAATGGTGACTTAATTCTAAAACATCCAGTGTTGGCAGTGATGTGAAGAAAAAGGAACATTCATGCACTGTTGGTGGGAATGCAAATTGGTGCAGCCATGGTGGAAGACAATATGGAAGTTCCCCCCAAAATTAAAAGTAGAACTACCATATGATCCAGGAATTACACTACTTGGTATTTACTCAAAGAAAACAAAAATACTAATTCAAAGGGATACACGCATTCCTATGTTTATTGCAGCATTATCTACAATAGCCAAACTGTGGAAACAGCCCAAGTGTCCATTGATAGATGAATGGATAAAGAAGATGTGGTGTGTGTGTGTGTGTGTGTGTGTGTGTGTGTGTGTGTGTGTGTGATGGACTATTATTCAGCCAAAAAAAGAATGAAATTTTGCCAACAAAACAACATGGATGGAACTAGAGTATAATGCTAAGTGACATAAGCTAGTCAGAGAAAGACAAATACCATGATTTCATTCATATGTGGGATTTAAGAAACAAAACAAAGGAAAAAAGAGACCAACCAAAAAACAGACTCTTAACTATAGAGAACAAACTGATGGTTGCCAGAAGGCAGGTAGGTGGGAGCATGGATGAAATAGGTGAAACGGATTAAGAGTAACACTTATCTTGATGAACACTGAGTAGTATATGGAATTGTTGAATCACCATATTGTATGCCTGACATGAATATAACACTATGTTAACTACACTGGAATTAAAAAATTTAAAAAATAGTGACCTAATTCGCTAAGCAATGAGAAACCATTAAAGTCTACTGTGTAAGTGGTATGGCTCTTGTTATTCCTCATAGTCTGTTCCTTTTACGAATGGACAAATTCAAATGCTTAAAAGTACAGTTGACCCTTGAACAACATGGGTTTGAGCTGCACTGGTTCACTTGTATGCAGATTTTTTTCAATAAATACAATATAACACTGTAAGTGTATTTTCTCTTATTATTTTCTTTTTTTTTTTAATTTTATTTATTTTGAGGGTGAGAGAGAGTGTGAGCAGGGGAGGGGCAGAGGGAGAGAGGGAGAGAGAATTCTGCACAGAGCCCAACGTGAGGCTTGATCTCACAAACTATGAGATCATGACTTCTGAGCTGAAATCAAGAATCAGACACTTAACCACTGAACCACCCAGGCACCCCTATTCTTCATGATTTTCTTAATAGTATTTTCTTTTCCTAGCTTCCTTTATTGTAAGAATACAGAATAAAATATGTATAACATAGAAAATATGTGCTAATCAACTTTATGTTATCGGTAAGGCTTCTGGTCAACACTATAGTTAAGTTTTGAGGAGTCAAAAGTTATACCTGGATTTTTGACTTCGTGGAGGCATTGGAACCTCTAACCGCACATTGTTTCAAAAGTCTACTGTATCTCCAAAAATAAACCTTGAAAATACAGTTTTGTTCAAAACACCAAGTAGACGAGAATTTCATGGCCAGAAAAGTTGAAACAAACCATGGTGTCTATCTCAGCAGCTTCCACAGCCTTCGTGTCAAATCAAGAACCTTTGGCTGTTCTCTGAAGTTGCTGAAATGTTTCCTTTGAAAATAAATTCCTAGTGCCTGAAACCAATTTTCTACTTACGTCTAACCATTTGAAAATTCGCAATGGGGTTTATTTTGTATTTCTCTTAAAAATTGATGAATAGGGGCGCCTGGGTGGCGCAGTCGGTTAAGCGTCCGACTTCAGCCAGGTCACGATCTCTCAGTCCGCGAGTTCGAGCCCCGCGTCAGGCTCTGGGCTGATGGCTCAGAGCCTGGAGCCTGTTTCCGATTCTGTGTCTCCCTCTCTCTCTGCCCCTCCCCCGTTCATGCTCTGTCTCTCTCTGTCCCAAAAATAAATAAACGTTGAAAACAAAAAACTAAAAAAAAAAAAAAATTGATGAATAATAATTTTTAATGTTGCCATTCCTTGGCCACCAATGGTCTGACACTACCTCAGACAAAATTGGAAATCTAATGAATTCAGATCTCTCTGACTCACCAATTTGTAACAGATCAAGTCACACATAGGAATTTAGAGGAAGCTTCCAAGCAAATTATATATAGGAGAGTTCTTGATAGAATTAATGGACTTTTTTCATCATCTGTGAGGTAAGCTTGACATGTTGTAATTTTCCAATAGAGAGGAGAAAACAGATAAAATATATTAGGCTATTTTCTGATAAGTGGTCATCATTGAATTTAGGAAATCAGCTTCGTAGTTTTTTTAATCTCCTATATATCTAAAACCTACTTCCGCTATGATCAGTGATATGTTCTCAAGTCAGAAAGGATTTTTCTCTTTGTACTGCTCCACAGACATGAACGTATTCACACCAAGAAAAGTAACTTCAGGAGATCACTAATATCCACTCTGAAGGATGTAGACGATTTAGCAACCCTAGAAGTTTTGGATGAGGTAAGAAACGTGGCTTAATTAAACTTAAACATTCTAGATTTTGTTTAACTTATAGATATGAACAGGAAGTTGTTTGAATAGCATCTGTATGCAATGTCTCTTAGCTTCCTGATTATCTCTCCCATCTTCACTTTTAATACGTATAACTCAAATTTCCAGATCTTTCCAGCCTAACGTCATTTTTTTTTCTTTTTTTTGATAGTCAGGTTACAAAGGTGTGGGTTCCCACTAGCATGAGTTGCTTATAAGTTACAGACCCTTTTTCCTCTGAATTCTTTCCAGAAAGCTCAGAAGGATGATTTACTGAGGTCAGAAAATGGTCTGCTTCCTACAACCTCTAATGTGGCATCCTCCTTCTATTTCCTCTTCTGTTCCACTCTCAGTGTCTATACCCAGAGGCTTCTAGGAAACCTCAAGAGCCTGTCTGTCTTAACTAGGGTCAGTGTCCTGCTTGTGGGGTCCCAGATCCCCTGCTCTCAGAGAGCTGGGCCTTTAGGGCAGTGAATTCTACTTGACGCTTCTTACCCAGTGCCTCACAGCTATCTCAAGCATCTCTTACGAAGGTACAAATACAAGCCAGTAAATTATAGCTTTAGCTTCCCTTCCTCTCATCTCCCTTCATTCCAGATAATCAGATCATTAGAGAAATAAGTAGCTCCCTTTCAATAACAAGTTGGGATCTCTATCCTGCCTGATCAACTTTTTTTTTTTAAATACATCTGATACATGCCAGAACATTTTCCTTTGAGATTCAACAAATCAGGAGACATCTTCTGAACAGAAGTAGTCATTTGGTAAATTTAGGGTGGCTTAAACAACTGAAGTACTTGCTCGAAATAATCTTTCTTGGGAACATCAAATATCTTGTAATCAAGTAGCGTTCGCAAGTCAGAGATTTGCCAGCACCTTTATGAATCTTTTCATACCACATTTTTCAATGATGTGAATTTCTGGATTTGTATATTATAAAGAAGACTTTACTCATCATGTTGCTGACCTACATATTAAACACTGGGTTTATTTGTTTCTGTTGTCTGTGCTTTTGTTTTTGTCTCTTTTGAGCTATGATGTTTTGCTATTCTCGTGTCATGTCTTAAATGATGATTTCTGACACTATTGAAATTGATTCCATGTACTCATGATTTATCAACTATGAAAGTTACTTCTCCACACATTTCACTGTACCTCATAAAGCCAAATGTCTCAGCAAAGGGCTAAGATATTCTACAGAGCCACTAAATAACCTTGGTTTGGAATAAAATCATGTTCACTGTATCTTCCTTTCCCTTTTCTATTGGTTTTTCTCTCTCTTTTTTTTTTTCATCTTCCACATTTACTTACTTCCTGGAAGGCTTTCTACATATAATATCCCTGTAATATCTCACGTGACCTTTGGAAAACGCACAGAACAATGCCATACCTCTATGGCTCTCAAAACAAGAAAATGTCTGCCAAGTGGAAGGATAGTTGCTGACCCAACGTTATACTTCTTACTATCAGCATATCTATTTCCTTCTGATCCTTGGTCCAGATTCCAGATGTTTTATTTATTACTGTTTACATTTTAAATTGTAACTACCCTTAAATTATTTTTAAGAAAAAAATATTTTTATTTTATTACAGAATACAGTCTCCGAGCAACTTGAGAAGTGTTATTCCAGAGATCAGATTTACATCTATGTGGGAGATATACTCATTGCTCTTAATCCTTTTCAGAGTCTGTGTCTTTATTCCACAGAGGTATGTGGTGTGGCTTACATTCTTTTACTTTGTACTAGTAATTATACTATTCAGATATTTAAATTAATTTAGATGATGCCAAAGAAAGTTTTATTCAATATCTTGAATAAACAGATAATTATTGCTAAAACATAGAGATAGGAAAAATAGAAGGTGAATCAGTCTGGATATGGTTTGTGGTCTTTCTTTTCCCAAAAGTATGTGGTGGAATGTTAATTACTTATAGTTATTGGTAACTGCCCTGTACTATGTATCATATTAATAAATAGATGTTTACAAAAGTGTATCTTATTGTCTACCTCTGAACCAAGTATGGGAGAGTGAAGAGCATAATTACATTTTTATACAGGTAATATATACTTAATGGCTATGAAACTTGTCATTATGAATTTTAAAATTCCTTTTGACATATTAGTTGGTTTTTAGTATCAGACAGTGTGTGTTTTTTTGAATATGAGTATATAATTATCTATTATTCAAGCCCTAATGGTTTAAATACAGATTAGTATTCTGGAATTAAGCTAGGCTGTTTTTCTTTTTCTTTTTTCTTTTTTTTTTTATTTTTTTAAGTAATCTCTATACCACACATGGGGGTTGAACCCAGGATCCTGAGATTAAGAGTCACAGGCTCTTCTGACTGGACCAGCCAGGCACCCTTCTCATTTTTTCATTTTTTATTTTATTTCTTAAAGATTTTGTATACTTTTTTTAATGTTTATTTTTGAGAGAGAGAGAGAACACGTGGGGGAGGAACAGAGAGAGGAGGACAGAGGATCCAAAGCGGGCTCTGTGCTGACAGCAGCGAGCCCGATGTGGGGCTCGATCTCACAAACTGTGAGATCATGACTTGAGCTGAAGTCAGATACTCAACCAACTGAGCTATGGAGGCATCCCTATACTTTTTTTAAAGTTTATTTATTTATTTTGAAAGAGAGAGTAGAGGGTAGAGAGAAAGAGAAAATCCCAAGCAGGCTTCTCACTGTCAGCACAGAGCTCAACGTAGGGCTCGATCCCTAGAGCTGTGAGATCATGACCTAAGCTGAAATCAAGAAATTACAGTATTTTGGGTTTCTGTTTGCTTGTTTTTTTGCTTTTTGGGTTTTTTTTTTCCTGAAATAATGGTATTTTGAAATATTAAGTTCTTCTTTGAAAGTGGTTTGCACTCCGAAAAAAGTCTTCTTTTAAATACTGTTCCCAGTGTGATACTATATTTTATTATGTCACATCCTATTTCTGGTTTTTTTTTTTACATCAGGCCTTTATTTTACATAATTGTGCATGATTTGTGCATGTAAATATGGGTAGTATGTGTGTGTAACATGTATGTAAAGTTTTGGTGGTGTGAGAGTGTATTTTGATTTATGTTTTGCTTAAAAATTGAGAGTTCTGTCTATAAATAATTTAAGATTTAAACAAAAACAAAAAGAAAAGCCCCACAAAATGTGTTCTTTTTAACCATTAGCATTCTAAACTATATATTGGAGCAAAGAGAACTGCCAATCCTCCTCACATTTTTGCAATGGCTGACGTAGGATACCAGTCCATGATAACATATAATTCAGATCAGGTAAGGAGAGTTTCACATTCTTAGAAATTCCCTTCTTAGGTTCTTATGTGTAAGCCTGATCTTGTGAGGATGAACTTTTCTCATGGTTTCCTTTTCTTATTGTGCAGTGCATTGTTATTTCTGGAGAAAGTGGTGCTGGAAAGACTGAAAGTGCTCATCTTTTGGTTCGGCAGCTGACGGTGCTTGGAAAGGTATAATTTTTCACTGTCCTAACAGAAATATTTGTTATACTTCAGAACCTAATATAACTGATTAGATTACTGCTTGCTAATTCCCACATTTGATAATGTACAGAAATTATAAAACACACTTGTTATCCTCTGTGAGTTTAAAATATAACAAACAGTATAAAAAGTATATGCTCTGGGGTGCCTGGGTGGCTCAGTCCATTAAGCGGCTGACTTCAGTTCAGGTCATTATCTCACAGCTTGTGAGTTCGAGCCCTGTGTCAGGCTCTGTGCTGACAGCTCAGAGCCTGGAGTCTCCTTCAGATTCTGTGTCTCCCTCTCTCTCTGCCCCTACCCCACTTGTGCTCTGTCTCTGTCTCTCAAAGATGAATAAATGTTAATAAATAAATAAATAAATAAATAAATATTAAAAAATAAAATAAAAAGCATATGCTCTGCTTTGAGGATATTCTAACTTTTCTCACTGTTATAGTAGGCAAGGCTTTATAAATGTGATATTCTCTATTTTTAGCCCCAGCACATTCACTAAACGCCTTCTTTACTTTTCTCCTTTTATTCCTTGTGGGTAAAAAAGAAGTTAATATACAAAAATCAATTTTACATATATAATATATATATCATCTATGTTATATGTAATACAAAAGTTAATTTGTATTATATATATAATGATAAATTATAATGATAGCAATGATAAATTATAAATTGAAATTTTAAAGTCTCATTTACAATAGCACCAAAAAATTAGCTATTTATATCTAAATCTTCTAAAATATGTACAAAATTTGTATGCTGATAAATGGAAAAAATGGATAAAAGAAATCAAAGAAGACCTACATAAATGGACTATACCATGTCCATGGATTAAAAGATTCATTATGCCAATTCTTCATATGCCATTATGCCAAAGTTGATCTGTAGATTCAGTGCTATTACAATAAGAATACCAGCAGGATTTTTTTCTGTAGAAATTGACAAGCTGAATTAAAAATTTATATGGAAAGACAAAAGAGCTACAATAATCAAACAAATTTGATAAAGAACAAAGTTGGAGAGCTAATACTACTTGATTTTCACTCTCTGTAGAGCTACAATAGTTATTATATTCAATGTTAAAAGCCTAATTCACCAGGGAAAAATATTAGATTTCACCAAAATTAAGAACTTCTGTTCTCTGAATGACATTGTTAAAATGAAACAACAAGCTACATACTCAAAGAAACTATTTGCAAGTCATGAATCTAATAAAACTTGTATCCTTAATATATATATTATAAAAACACTCTTAAAACCCAATAATAAGAAATAGTATAACAAAAAATTAACAAAAGGATGTATCAACTAGGGTTAACTGATAAAAGTATATTTTTAAAAATGAACATGGGGCGCCTGGCTGGCGCAGTCGGTTGAGCGTCCGACTTCAGCCAGGTCACGATCTCGCGGTCCGGGAGTTCGAGCCCCGCGTCAGGCTCTGGGCTGATGGCTCAGAGCCTGGAGCCTGTTTCCGATTCTGTGTCTCTCTCTCTCTCTGCCCCTCCCCCGTTCATGCTCTGTCTCTCTCTGTCACAAAAATAAACGTTGAAAAAAAAAAATTTAAAAATGAACAGAAGGCTTGAACAGTCACTTCACCAAAAGACAATATGTAGATGGCAGATATACAAATGAAAAGTTGTTCAACATCAGTTGTCATTGGGGAAGTGCAAATTAAAACACAATGAGACATCATTACACACCTATTAAAATGTCTAATTTTTTCTTTTATCTAATAATGCCAACTGCTGAGAAGCATGGGGAATAACTGGAACTCTCATATATTTCTGTTGAAATACAAAATAGTGCAGTCACTTTGGAAAATAGTTTGGAAGTTTTGTTTTTGGGTTTTTTTTTGTTGTCGTTTAAAGTTTATTTTGAGAGAGAGAGAGAGAGAGAGAGAGACAGAGAGAGAGAGAGAGCAAGTGGGGGATGGGCAGAGAGAGAGGGAGAGAAAGAATCCTAAGCAGGGTCCATGCTCTCAGTGGAGCCTAGTGCAGGGCTCAAACCCATGAACTGTGAGATCATGACCTGAGCTAAAAAAATCAAGGTCAGACGCTTAACCGATGAACTACCCAGGCACCCTGGGAATATTTTTATAAATTTAAACTATACTTATCATCCAGCCCAGCAATCCTACTCTTAGTTTATTTATCCAAATAAAATGAAAACTCATGTTCATACAGAAACCACAGACAAATACATATAGTGGCTTTGTTCATAATCTCCAGAATGAGGAAACAACCAAACAAGGGAATGGATAAACAAACCAGTACATCTATACAGTGGAATATTGTTCAATAACAAAAAGGAACAAACATTGATACAAGGAATGAATCTCATTAGATGAGATTTGGATGAATGTCAGATGCATTGTGTTAAGTCAAAAGAGTCAGATTCAGATGACTATATGCTATATGATTCAATTTATATGTCATTACTGAAAATTTAAAGTTATATAGACACGGTCATCTGAGTGGCTCCATCAGTTAAGCATCTGCTGTTGATTTCAGCTCATGATCTCATGGTTGGTGGGTTCAAGCCCTGTGTTGGGCTCTGTGCTGACAGTTTGGAGTCTGGAGCCTGCTTTGGATTCTGTGTCTCCCTCTCTCTCTGCCCCTCCCCCCACTCTGAAAAAATTTAAAAAAAAAACATTACAAAAATTAAAATTATAGAGAAAGAAACAAATCAGTGATTGTCACAGGCTGGGGATGGAGGGAGGGGTTGACTATAAAGGGTAGCGATATAGTTTTGGGAGGTGATGAAACTGTCCTATGTGTGGATTTGTAGTGGGGGTTATTTGATTGTACATGTTTGTAAAAACTTTCAGAACTGTGCTCTATAAAGGATAAATTTTTTTTAAAGATTTTAATGTTTATTATTTATTTTTGAGAGACACAGAGAAACAGAGCACAATTGGGAGAGGGCCAGAAAGAGAAGGAGACACAGAATCTGAAGCAGGCTCCAGGCTCTGAGCTGTCGGCACAAAGCCCAATGCAGGGCGCGGGGCTTGAACCCACAAACACGTGAGATCACAATCTGAGCCAAAGTCAGATGCGTAACCTCTTAACCAACTGAGCCACTATAAAGGATGAATTTTACTGTGTGTAAAAATATACCTTAATTTTTGAAAAAGAGAAGTTGACGATAGAAACTTGGTTTGATTTTCCAGGTAGGGTCCTTGAATAAAGTCAAGAAATATATATATATTAGGATGACTAAAATTAAGGAAAAAAAAAACCATTGTGTACAACTGATCCCTGTGAAGATTTTTATTATGATCCACATAGTTATACGCAATATAGTATTCTATTAAAATTTTTCCTCACTATGATTGTAAGAATCTTCTAAGTACTGTGAGTGTAAGGACAGACTTAATCTCTCCATAAAAGGGTGAAGCTTCATCATGTCAAAACAACTTCTTTTTTTTTTTTTTAATTTTTTTTTTTCAACGTTTATTTATTTTTGGGACAGAGAGAGACAGAGCATGAACGGGGGAGGGGCAGAGAGAGAGGGAGACACAGAATCGGAAACAGGCTCCAGGCTCTGAGCCATCAGCCCAGAGCCTGACGCAGGGCTCGAACTCACAGACCGCGAGATCGTGACCTGGCTGAAGTCGGACGCTTAACCTACTGCGCCACCCAGGCGCCCCCAAAACAACTTCTTAATTGAATCTAATTCATTTTCAGAATCATCAGTTGACAGATTTCTGTGCTTATATTAAAAATCAATTAACTGACAGATTTCTGTGCTTGTGTTAAAAAATCAATTAACTAGTTTTTATGTTTTCAATCACGTGTGTGCGTATGAAATAGAAACATGACTTTGCTAGAACTGGAACAGCCAGTAGTGACCAGGAAGCTAGTGCTACCTCAGGACTGTCATCCCGATCCCTTCCGCATCCCATTTTCCATCAACTTCCCCTCTCCTTACTTCTAGGATAAGAAGAAAAAAAAAGGTGTGATTTTTGAGGGAGAGGGGTGGTGAGGCACAGCATATGATCCTGCCATAGAAGACTTGAACACCTGACTTAATTTACTCAAGGACCGTCCACGTCCACAAGGGCCTTTGCTATTCTCTTTTGTGGTTGCATAGAGGGTCCCGTCAATGATGGATTAACTTGTGCGTGACTTTTGTTTTATCTACTGTTTATCTACTCACTTTATCTTATTCAGGAGCTAAAAATGTGATTTAATATTAACTGGGAATATATATCTCTCCCAGAATCCTACCCATATTAGATCTTATCATATCTTTTACTTATCTCCTTGATAAAGATTTACCAGATACAAAACAGGATGTTTGGTGGGTTGAATTTACATTTGTAATATGCAGTCCTTATAATCTTATTTAATAAAGGCACTGCTAGTTAATACAGATGGATAAAGATGCTTTCTCACCTTTTATATGAGTGCAAATCCAGCCCCATTTTAGAAGGCTTAAGCTTGTTCCAGTGCTCATTATTCTCTTCTCTCAACCCTTATTGCCTATTTTAGAAGCTACTAAAAGTCTTTATATGCCCCCAAACCCTCCTTGTAAATACCCACTCCAGCCCACCTACGTCCTAACATGGCCCGTGTTCCAGAAATACCAACTGCTCCTCTCCCTTACTTGTATAATTTGCATACCTTTAACACAGCTGATTTCAACCAGGTATTACACTAAACATAATCTACTCCATCTAATTTCTACCAAGATGTGAATGACTGATACCTCCTTAACCTAATTATAACAATAACACTTGTTTCAGGGAAGGAGTATACGAGATGGGGTAGGAGAAAATAGAGGCACAGCCAAGTAGGCCCACTGGCCTTGACTGGGGTTCCACCCCTTCCGTCCACACTTCTGAACTGTTCTCAGTTTTCACAGTTCCTCCCTTTTCCCTACTTCTGAATTGACAAATTACCTTTACTCCTTTATTTCCAGCCTTAACAGCTTCCATGGAAGCAAGGGAAGTGGTTCTGACCTTGGGGAGCATTTGGATGGGGGCCCAGGGAAGTAGAGGAGGAATAACAAAATGAGACGTATACCCCAGTATGCATAGACTGCTTATAAATTGTGTTTGTAAATCGAGCACTGACCAGAACTATATTTCAGTAGAAAAAGTACAGAACATCTCTTTGCCCCTTGGAGAAAGCAAGTGGGTGAATGCACTTAGGGGAAAGGAAAAATAGTCTAGATATTGTAACATCTGGCAGTATGCCAAGAATATGCTCTCAGTACATTTATGTCTACATATAGTGCTTATCAAAGAAGAAGCATTTTATTATATACAAAATCAATTTTTTACATTTAAAGAACAATCTTGACATTTTCTCTAGGCTAATAACAGAACTCTGCAAGAGAAGATTTTACAAGTGAACAATTTGGTGGAAGCCTTTGGCAATGCCTCCACTATTATAAATGACAATTCCAGCCGATTTGGAAAATACTTAGAAATGAAATTTACCTCTTCTGGAGCTGTAGTGGGAGCACAGATTTCTGAATACCTTCTGGAGAAATCCCGAGTTATCCACCAACCTCTGTAAGTCCGTGTCAAATATTTTCTTTTTTTCTGGGAAACAAGCAAAAATAATGCTTTTGTTTTAATGCTAAAATGTCTTACATATTCATCAAACTCAACAAAATGTTATTGACCATCTACTACGTGAAAGGCACTTGTTAGAATTGAAAAGGTCCCCCAGCACTGTCTTACTCTCACATGTGTTATATCTAGTAGAGGAGTTAATAAATCACCTAAAATTTATGATACCAGATATAAAACGTATGCCCATCATAGATACTAACAGGTAAAATTGGAATGATTTCTGAAGTAGGGGAGCATATATTTCTTTACACAAAACTAAAGTGAAATTTAATTAGACATCAGTCTTTTTTTCTTTTAAATGTTTACATACATAAATAGATCTCTGTATGAATTCTATCCTTCCTATGGTTATACACATGGGACCAAATAAAAGATTCAGGTATGGCCTTAATTGTATTGCCCTTTTAATTTACAGATGATTTAATGCTGTAAATTCCATGCTTTGGCGTTAAGTTAAAGGAGTTCCTTTCAGCAGTTTATAGCTGAATGGCAATATTTCTCTCCTGTCCTAATGCTAGCAGAACATCTTTGTTTGTTATTCTTATGTGGAAAATATAGTCGAAACATTAGATTTGTACCCCTGTATTTATATTCCTTTTAAAAAGTGTGGCAAGTTAGTCTTTCCTTTTTCTTCTGTAGGTTTTACACCTAACATACCTACATTACTATAGTAGTAGGTCATTTGTTAAATTCCTGGGAACACAAGCTCTTGTTATGTATTAGTACATTATTATTTAACATAAATGCTTTCAAAGTTGCTATCATTCAATTTGTGAGTCAGTTGTGAATATAAGTTGCCTGGGGTTCACCTCCTGAACTCAGCTTTCAATGTGGAAAATTATCCTTTGGTCCGTGCTCAATTCAAAATACATAAGAAATGATTATAAGACGAGTGTTTTGAATTGTGGCTTCACTACATGTTAGTTCACTTTGGGTAAGATATTTAAACCCTAAAAACCCTTCTAGGACCTTGGTTCTATGTGTGATTTGAAAAACTTAACCTCTCTGCACCTCAGTTTTTCATCTTTAAAATGGAAATAGAAGTAGTACCTACCTATCAGTTAAGATAATGCCTGTAAAGCATTTAGCACGATGAATAACACATAGTAAGAACCCGTAAGTTTAAGCCATTATTAGCAGTAATGGTGTGGATAGTTGTGCAAAAACTTAGAAACAACACCTAGCACAGTACAGTAGATGGCAGCTACTATTATCGATGTGTGCCAGATCCCCAGGGCTTAGTGAATACGCATGTCTGTGCCTCTGTCACCCATGCCTAGAGGAACCTTGGGGTCTTATACAGATGTGCAGACTTAACTGGTTCTCAAAACAATCTGTCCTGTTCTCAGAACTGTGTAAGACTCTCCTTCAGGCCTTGGGGAAGAACTACCTAAGGGCGTGAATTACTGAGATTTGGGTGGGACCACCATGGTACACAATGTCAGGGGGTAACATACACCGGGGTTCTATGGAACTATGTGTCTTGTGAACAGTAACTTCTGGACCTACACAATGAGGGCCCTGTGTTTATAATAATAGAAATAACCTTGTTAATGTTTATTGATATATTATAGGATATATTCTAGGAAATTGCACAATTAAGATCATATTTTAGACAGGCTATGAGTTAATTAAGCTTTTTTTCCAACTATCCAAAAGAACTATTCTAGTTTTACAATGTTGTTGATTGAGGAAAAGCACTCTTAGGGCACCTGCGTGGCTCAGTCGGTTGTTAAGCATCCTCTTGATTTTGGTCCAGGTCATGATCTCACCATTTGTGAGATCGAGCCCCCCTTAGGGCTCTACACTAACAGTACAGAGTCTGCTTAGGATTCTCTCTCTCCCTCTCTCTTTGCCCTTCTCCTGCTCGCTCACACACATGTGCGTGTGCTGTCTCTCAAAGTAAATAAACATTTTTTTTTAAAAGGCACTCTTAAGTTCCCAACTTACAATTAGGTTGAAATCCAACTCAGTTTATAATTTGAATATAGCTGCCTTATAATTTTTCCATTTTTCTATTTTTTTACACCTATATTTTTCTTTTACTTAGTTTCAGTTGCATTTTTAAATTCTAGAGAAGCTTTTTGTGATCTTTGAAAATGAAGTGTCAAACAGACAAGTGAAGAATTCTTTCAGTCAGAGAACGAGGCAAAGTGAAGAATGAGTCTAGGTGACAGAGAAGAAGCAGAGCGGGCATCTATGTCTTTTAAATGAACTTACCCTTTCTTTTAAGGAAATAAGTTCTTTTCTCTTTTTGCCTCTGCCCATGTCATTCCACCCTAATCTCTCACCACATTTGTTTTTATATATATTTGTATTTATCTATATATGTTTGTATATTTTAAATATTTATAAATAAGTATAAATAATTTATGAATATATTCATAAATACATGTTTATATGTATTTTTAATTTATTTTTTAATATATTTATTATTTATTTTTGAAAGAGAGGGAGAGAGAGACCCCCAAGTAGGCTTCACGCCGACAGCTCAGAACCTGACGAGGGACTCAAACTCATGAACTGTGAGATCATGACCTGAGTTGAAATCAGATGTCACTTAATCAACTGAGCCACCCAGTCGCCCCTATTTTTTTTATTTCTTTTTTTTAAATGTTTATTTATTTGAGAAAGAGAGAGAGAGAGCGAGCACAAGTTGGGGAGGGGCAGAGAAAGAGAGACGGAAACAGAGAATCTGAAGCAGGTCCAGGCTCTGAGCTGTCAGCACAGACCCCAACATGGGGCTCAAACCCTGAACTGTGAGATCATGACCTGAGCTGAAGTTGGATGCTTAACCGACTGAGCCACCCAGGCGCCCCTATTTTTTTTTCTTTTTCTAATGATGGAAGTGTCATGTCATTTGTGGCTTAAATCTTCATCTAAATGTGGATAATTTTAAAGAAGAAATTCTTAAAGGGGGTTACTTAATTTTGAGAAGAAAATTAGTATATTGAAATCAATGCTAGATAATTCTCACAAATATAAATTATCGCTGTTTCACTGCACTTTCCTTCTGTTACTACAGTTTCATGCAGGAAGCATTGATTATGTTTCACTCACATGCCCAGCACTTTACCAGATGCTGCAGGACGCATCCATACAGTGGGAGATGTGGTGCTCTTTACAGAGGAAGGAAAATATTATTCATGGAACACTTACTGTGTGTCCAGCACTGTGCTAATAAGCACTTTATATCCATTATCTATTTTAATTCTTACAGTGATAGGACAGGATATTCTTGCTATTTTGCATGTAAGACTGGGACTGAGAATTGTAATAAGTCACCTAATGCCAAAAAGCTAATAAATGACTGAGTTGGGGTTTGAACCCATGTCTCTGTCTGACTCCAAAGTCCATAATTCATTCATTGATCCTTTTGGCAAATATTTATCAAGTACCTACTCTGTGCCAGGAACTGTACTAGGCACAGGAGATATAAAGCTGAATGACATAGGATTGCTCCAATAAAGCAGCTCAGTCTTCTGGATAATGTATGCTTTGAAACAAAGCTTGCTGATCACTTGTTGATTTCTAGTCTCAGGAAAGTAGGCAATGAGTTTATCTGCCAAGTGTAACCAGATAGGGATAAAGGGAGAGGGACTGAGGAGACTATACGTCTTAGAGGAAGGAATCTTGGTGGAGAAAGCAGGAATTAAAAATGAAAAATTAAAAACACTTTTTCATGACTATCCTAAGAGGCCTTATGAATGCAAAGCTGCATTGTTGCCTTTCCAAGCCTTATTGCTGGCCGCTTTGTCGAAAATTGAAAGTTTCACAAGTGGGGAAAGCCATACACTTGTGAGAACTTTGCCACATTTTTCAGGGTGTTAGAGGTCTTGGCTGCATAAGTGATCCCCAGGGTCCAGACCAGATGGACACATATGAGACAGCCCTGAGGACCTTCCCACGAATGACTGAGTGGAACTCTGAAGAAGTATTAGAAGATCCACAGTCAGGGGTGGGGTCAGAGTCAGAGAAATACTATTCAGTAACTTGCTGAGACCCTACATCTGTCCCCAGCCATTCTGACCTGGGAACCACTGGTCATATGAGCACGTATGGGATGCTATGGTCCTCTGTCTTCTTAAATACAGTTTTGATGTGGTTAAGGGCAAGGTAGGAGATGAGTAATTTTTGGCAGTATTTTCTTTTCCTGTTTCTTTAACTCTCTGATTGTTTATCCAACCAAAGGTCAGTGTATTTCCTATAGCATCTCCAGGTCCTGTCAAATTACAATTCTCAGTAAACGTAAACTGATAATTAAAGAGAAAACCACCAATTGTGTGCATCTACATTTATGACTCACCTCTCTAATTGTACACTGCATTGTTTAAGTGTTGAAGGTGTGACACATAGAGCAATCGATGTGATTTCGTTAGAACAAAGTGAACTAAAATATGTGCTGTGCCACTCTTAGAGAACTTGTATTATTTTGTGGTGAGAAAAGACAAGAGGTAAACTTTTAGCTTTGTTCTAACCTTACTCATGTACGATGCTAGTGTTTGTTGAAGCATTACTGGTGACTGCTCAAGACATGGTGGGGAACTCCCCTTCTAAAGGACATGCTGGTCCTTGCTTCACTGTCCAAGCCCATGGACCACCCTTTACTTGAAAAGCTCACCTGTCTTTTTTTCCCCAGCTGGATTCTCTGGATTCCTCTCCTACTTCCCTGAATGTTTTTGCTCTGACTTCGATTCATCCATCATTCTCCAAACATGTATTTGCCAAAGATTCGTATTCAGAGTGTTTCTCTTTTCTCTCTTTACTTTCTCACTTAGCAATTCCTTCTGATGCCATGGCATCAACAGGTAGCTCAAAGTGATTGACACCCAAAGATACACTTCTCACTCCCACCTGACTTCACATTTTTCATTTCCATGTACCTAGATATCTTGCTGCCACATATAATTCAACTGAATACACCTTGTCCCACACAT